GTCAAATTCGACCTATTTTCAAAAAATCATAACTCCGGTTCAAAGTATCGTAAAGAAAAAAGTAAAACGGGAAAATTTACAAAATTGTGTCCGCTTTTAAGTAAAAATTGCAGAAATCACTTCGTTTTAATTTTAAGGGGGGGTTCGGACCCCCAAATACGTCAATTCAAAGGTCATTCAATTTTCCCGCAAAATGAGCCAATTTCGCCTAGATTTGCCTCCACTTTATCTCAGTAAGGTCGAAATCAGTTCAACATTACGTTAGCAAGTCCCCAAATTTCGGGAAAAGTAAAAAAAAAACGAAATTTAAACGGTCAAATTTAATCACCATAAATTTCGTTTTTTTTTAACTTTTCCCGAAATTTGGGGACTTGCCAACGTAATGTTGAACTGATTTCGACCTTACTGAGATAAAGTGGAGGCAAATCTAGGCGAAATTGGCTTATTTTGCGGGAAAATTGAATGACCTTTGAATTGACGTATTTGGGGGTCCGAACCCCCCCTTAAAATTAAAACGAAGTGATTTCTGCAATTTTTACTTAAAAGCGGACACAATTTTGTAAATTTTCCCGTTTTACTTTTTTCTTTACGATACTTTGAACCGGAGTTATGATTTTTTGAAAATAGGTCGAATTTGACCTTTGACCTATCATAACTTGGTCAAAAATTAAGATATTGATCTGCGATTTGCCCCAAAATTCTTAGTTTTTTATGCTCTTTCGAATGAGGTATCACAAGATAGGGGTTGCCATTTGAAAAAAAAAAGTTGGGGGCCCCCCGCGCCCCTCCTGAGGGGGGACCAAAATTTTGACCCCCCAAAAGATGGTCCTCTTTGAGATAGGAACATTCCCAAAGTTTCATTACCCTAGCTCAATTCGTTCAAAAGTTAGCAGGGGTGGGACGGACTTTTGGTACACCCTGTATGTATGCTATGCAGGGTGACCTAAAATTCCATACCCCTCCCTCCCGGTAACTTTTGAACGGTTAGAGATAGATAAACGAAACTTTGGGAACGTTTCTGTCTCAAAGGGGACCATCTTCTAGGGGGGTCAAAATTTTTGCCCCTCCCTCGGGGGGGAACTCTTTTTTTTCGAAAGGTAACTCCTATCTTATGAAACATCATTAGAAAGAACATTATAATCTAAGTATTTTGGCGCAAACTGCAGATCAATATCTAAATTTTTGACCGAGTTATGATAAGTCAAAGGTCAAATATGACCTATTTTCATAAAATCATTACTCTGGTTTAAATTATTGCAGAGAAATGAATAAAACCGGAAAATGTAGCAAATTTTGAGTACTTTTAAGTAAAAATCATAGAAATCACCTCAAACTAATTTTAAGGGGGTGTTCGGACCCCTAATACGTCAGTTCAAAGGTCATACGATTTTCTCGCGAAATCAGCCAATTTTCTCCAACTTTGCCGCAAAATATCCCGGTAAGTTCAAAATCAGTTCAGCATTGCGTTTTCAAGTTCCCAAATTTCGGCCAGACGTTTAAACAAACGAAATTTAGACGGTCAATTTTAATCACATCATGTTTCGTTTGTTTTTACTTTTCCCGAAATTTGGGGACTTGATAACGCAATGTTGAACTAACTTTGAACTTACAGAGATATGTCGAGGCAAAGTTAGAGAAAATTGGCTCATTTCGCGGAATAATCGTATGACTTTCGAACTAACGTATTTGGGGGTCCGAACCCCCGTCCCCCTTAAAATTAGTTTGAGGTGATTTCTGTGATTTTTACTTAAAACTGCTCACTATTTGCTACATTTTCCCGTTTTATCTCTCTACTTTTTATTTTTTTCTTTGCGATAAATTGAAGGGGAATTATGATTTTTTGAAAATAAGTCATATTTGACCCTTGACCTATCATAACTCGGTCAAAAATTGAGATATTGATCTGTGGTTTGCGCCAAAATTCTTAGGTTTTAATGTTCTTTCCCATGACGTATCACAAGATAGGAGTTACCTTTTGAAAAATAGCCCCCCCCGAGGAAGGGGCAAAATTTTGACCTCCCTAGAAGATGGTCCTCTTTGAGACAGAAACGTTCCCAAAGTTTCGTTTTTCTATCTCTAACCGTTCAAAAGTTACCGGGGGGGAGTACGGACTTTTGGAACACCCTGTATATGTATCCACTGTTAAAGCCTGGGGGGGGGGGGGGGGATACGGATTTTGGGGCACCCTGTATGTAGTGTTATATATATCCTACTAATTTAAATACATCCAGCTCACAAATATTTTCTGCTCCATTTTTATTTTTCACAAATTCTCCTTGGATTATACAGAATCTGTTGGCTTCATAAGGGGAACTGTGCGGAGTTTTCCTGGAAGAAAATGAAACCCCAGAGGCTCTTAGGCAACATGTGGTGAAGTTAGGCCACTTCTGCGCAAATCTATCCACACATTTAATTATGCATTTAGGCTGTTCATGAAAGCAGAATCAAGCAAGACTTCAATGATGGTCAAAATTGAATTTGTATCATTCAGAGCGTCATAATTAGAAGGCTCGGAACTTTAAAGCCTCAACTAACTCTTCAGTTTGGTGAATTGGAGATAGCTTGTGTTGAAAATTTGCTCTTCAGTGGCAAGAAATTTCCTTTTTCCCATCCCCAAAAACGAAGGAAACTAAAAGGGGGTGTTTTTTCTATGTTATCAGAAATATTTTAATGATTTGAGGATTATTCATCCTTTACAAAATTTGAAAATGATGAAAATTCTATCTTTCAAAATACTCTTATAAATGGTTTTCACAAAGGCGCCATTTCAGGTTATTGCAGGAATAAGCATAAAAGTGACCAGGGTTTTTTTTTTCTTTTTTCTTTGGCTCAGCTTTACACCTTGGAAATAGCATACTAGCGGTTCTCCCCAGCCTGACCCAAAAGCGTAGAGCTGGGTGAATGCCCGGCTTGCTTCCTCAAATGGCGCCCCTTGATTTTTAAATCATTTGCTGACCACCAGAAAAAGTCATGAGGTGCTTTTTGCCGCTCTTGAGCCAAGCCTCAGCAATACGAAATCGTAGTTTAGGCTTTATGATCATGGAAACTTTATGTCTGCATTTTTTCAAATCAATTACTTTGGTTTTAACGAGAAGAAATTCCCCCATATCTTGGGCATGGAGTACTGCATTTCAGCCTTGGAATTTTTTTCTGAATCAATAAAATAGTAGAAGTATATTACAAGTGACTTCAGTATTCACAGTTAGAGAATTTTTTGTCTTGAAGAACTCTGCACTCAATACAAAAAAATTTAGCGCTGGCTAAATTTCGAGATTTTAGAATGATGTTGCTTATAACCTCCTTAGTACGATGAGCTTTTGAAATTGAACTTTCTCTGCGCCAAATTCTAGGAAATTGAGTCAGTGAAGTGCATTTTTAGGCAGTTTAATAGGTGTTATCATACCAAGAAGTGGAACAGTCACATCGCTGAGTTGAAGATGTGGAGCCTTTCGTACTGAGCTGAGTTGAGCTGTGCTGAGCTTAACTTTCCGGTTTGCGTCGGCACAGGATGAGGGAAAGGAGCTCGAGTCCTTGATGGACAGTGTACATCGGTCAAAACTTGCAAATTGTAGACCCAGTTTTCTCGAGTTGGAGAAAGTTCAGTTCTAAGAGCTCATATTGCTCAGAAGATCAGTGTCCTTTACAGAAAAATAAATAAGAAGCTAAATATAGTTTAGGGTGGAGCTCCTGAACATTTTTATCTCTATTTCACATTACAGTAAAAAAAATCCCCAACACTTTTACTTCACATCATTTTACTGTATCTCATTCCTGAAATATTGAGCTAATCAACAAATTATTTAGCTGAATTAAATCAAATTATATCGATTCCAAACTTTATCCTGTCATACATTTCTTTCTTGTGATAAATATGTTAAATTGTTTTCCCAGGGACGTGTTCGAGCTTCAAGCATGTCTGGTTAAAGAGCTTGAGACATGTGAAGAGCCAACTCCAGCAAACATCATAGACTCTCTGTTCAACTTCGTTTACAAACAAACACCATGCAATGGCGTAAAACCAAAGCATCCCAAGAAATTAGCAGATGGTGTTACGGGGGTTGCATCATCTCTTCACGTCTTCAGCCATCTATTAGCACTCAGTTTATCCGTCCATCTGTGGAGAAGTTAGGCATGGACATGTCTCCAGCTATTTACTGTGATCTTTAATTACCTGGGTATATTTTCGTTAAGTACCTCGCGGGATCAGTTTCCCTCTTATACTGTCTTATTCTCAAGCAGGCCAAGGCAAATCAAATATTTAAATTTGTGAATATGTTGGATAAACTTCAAAATTGGCATGTGATAGTTTTTCTGTCACAAGATTTTTTACTTGATAGCTCTGAGCCTTCTCAAAAAGAAAAAATAAAAAATAAAAAAAAAAAAAAAATAATAATAATAAATGATAGCAATACAACAGCAAAATCCTCTGATTCGTTTTTTCCCTTCAAGTTTCTGTCGCTGCCACATTTCTTTTAATAATTCTGAATTTGATACTTTCACGGTTTGTATAGAAAACATTTTTTAGAATCTATGAAAATGTCATCATAGTATGTTTCCAAATCAAAAGACTGAAAAACTTTCAGTAGCTCTTGTAGACGTAGTATTTAACAACACTCTTGCGGCCTTAGTTTCTTCTTGTTACCAAAGTGCCTCATTAACTTACGTTTCCTTATTTTACTTCATTTTCCTTCTATGAACTATCTAGTACCTCTTGTTTAGGAATTAGTGCTAAATAATATATCAAATCACCTGATGTCTGTTTTATGTACAGCGTTCCTAGCTGGTATATTTTATTTTTTAATAGTGAGACACTGAGAAATTAGAGAGGTAGGTTGCGTATTTTGTGGAGGATTTTAGTTTCTCTCTGTTTTTCTTTGATAATTGTATGACCTGTGTCACTGCATTTGAGGAAACTAGATTTTGTTCAAGCTCATTTCTCACTCTAACATCTATTGTTCTTTTTTTCCATATTGGTTTTCTGTATGTATTGGTTTACTTAAATTGTTACTTAATTTCGGCTCAATTCTTAAGTTGTATGATGAAGAGATTGACCCTCTCTTATATTTCATGCAAAGAATAAGGAGCTTTAAATGATTTTTTATACCTTTTTCATTGTGTCCTCTTCTCAGTTGATCTATGGAGTTGCGAAGACTTGATTTGGCTTTAAGTCTTAAGACTATTGCTCCCTTGATCATTGATAGTTATGTTTTCAAGTTGTTTTATTACAAATTTTATTTTGAAAATGTTATTCTTTTTTTGTTTTTCATTTTGCAATTGTTTGTATCAACGCGGTTTTGGAAACTCAATCATTAGCCCTTATGTTGGTTCTATTAAACTTATGTTTCCTCTGCTGATGGAGTTTTAGATCCAAGTGCCCTCGGAAACAACTTTTAGACCTTTAATCTCTTTTAAATTGATGTTTTAAACCTCAAAGATGCACCTAGAATTCTTGTAGGCCATCACTAAAGCACCCAATTGTAACAATGGTTTATTTAATTTTAAGCTCATTATGTTTCGCTCTCTTTTAGCTTGTACTTTTAGTTCACTTCCCTCAATAATTACAATCAGGAATTAAATGCTTGAGAGAAAGAAGAAAAAAGGTGGTGTTGTTAGAAAATTAGTTGTCTGGATCAATGATTTAGTTATAGGAAGAACTGATTAATTTTCAATTTGTAAAAAAGGAGAATTTGCACACAAAAATTGTATTCCTTCATCTGGGAGTGTTTATTGACCTGAGTACCCAGTAATTTTTCAAAGGTGGGAAATCATTAAAAAACTAAAAACTTTAAAAATGAGAAAATGCACTGCCTAGTAATGTCATCAGGTAACATTTCCCATTTAAAGACATATTTTAGCAGATTACATCTTGCCATTTTTCCCGCAATACTTGTTTAATTTAGAAACGAAGCATATTCTCATGCTCAGTCCTCTCAGTTAGTAACATGGTATTCATCAAATTTCAGTCTCTTGCAATTTCTCCGTTGTAATGAACAGAATAAATCAAAATAATGACTACTCTATCTAACTATAAGGAATTTCCCTGGCTTGTAATTTATTTTAATTTTCCTCCCGAAAGTCTGTCACTTTTTGAACATCCATTCATTGAAAATAAAAGAACAATACTCAAGAGTACATCAACGTAGCTTAATTTTGATCCTGAATTTACAAAATTAGATGACAGGTCGTGTATACTTGCAGAACAATCAAGCTCACATTGCTGATTTTGCGTAGATTTTCAAAAAGTTACAGCAATCACTGCAGTGATCTTGTTCATTTAATTCTTACATTTTTGACTAGTATAGAGTGCAAATAGTTTACTGAAATTTCCCCTGATTTTCTTGAACGATGTTTATCCACGAAAAGAAAGTTCAAAGTTGCGTGTTTTTACCTGGCATTTAAACGCGCATCACCTAGAAAACCAAGATGGCATCTGCAGAGATCCCTCCAACAGTGGCCACTTTTTTGACTCAGCATTCTCTTCGATGCGATCAGTGGCCGGTACGTAAACAACAGAAAGTAAGCAAACTCATCGGAAGGTTTTCATGTTCAGGAATATCATGACCTTTTTAACATTAATAAGGCACCTGACAATGCACTCTATGAAAATTTAAAGATTGTGAACTATGTGCACTCTGTAAGTACTTTTCAAAAATGGCAAGAGTCACTTTGGCCAATGAGGCAATTTTTACCCTAAATTTGGTGTATCAAGCAAGTTTTTTTACTTGCCATCTCCTCAAAATAATCTTAAGTCGTGAAAATATCTTCTGTAGGTATACCTTTCTTCATAATCTCTTATGCCTATAAGTTCATTCAGAAGATTTATGGTCTGGGCAGGACATACTTGAGAAGATTTCATCATACTTTGAGACTCAAGAATTAAAAGTTGTTATTCATGCCCTCCAATGCAATTTTCTTATTTTAGGTATCACTTTTCAAGTTAAGTTACTGTTTTTACTCTCTTTTTTTTGTAAAACGAATCAAAGCCCACTTTTTTTCTCATCACTGGATTTTCATAATGTAACTGTGACGTGGATTTTCAAAGGAAAAATATGAAATGCATTGTTGTACAACATTTTTTTGTGACAGTCTGTCGCTCTTCCCTGAGAATTAAATGAAAAATTGAAATAAGACTCAGTTCTTGTGTTAAGGGATGCTCAGACTGATAAACCTTTTGATGCGCAGGAATGTGTCAGTGCTACGAGTGCTTAACACAGTGGCCAACAAAAGCAGTTGACTGTAAGTTGCATCATAGAATAGGCTCTGTACTTCTTAGTTTTTTTTTTTTCATTAGTTAAAGGAGCTTAGTTTAATTGAAAAATCATCACTAGGTTTTTTTAATGTTTTCGTTAGACCTTAAGAAGAATTAGTTTGAAAATTCTGACATGTTTGAAATTAGAGTTGGGCCGAAATGAATTTTTCGCGTCACCAGATACCGATATCGATTTTTTGTATCGGGTCGGAGCCGCATTCGGGATACCTAATTCGCTGACGTATCCGGCCGGAATGGATAATATTGGATCCGGATTGTGTTTTTTGGCATGAGAAAAATCTCCAGATTTTGCGTTTGGGACAAGAGGCACATTCTATATTAGACCATTGAGACAGTCATCCACGATGTATGTGCCTTTGTACGGGCAACCTCCTTATTTTTCAAAGGCGCGCGATGAGGCCGGCTGTAACGAATACAAAAAAAAAACGACCTGGCAAATAAGCAGTAGCAGCCTGAGCAGCATTAGCTTTCATTGGGTTCATGGTGTGTGCCAGACGAATCTGATGTGCAGAAAAAAAGATATTATCAGAGGAGTAAACAAGACAAAAGTGAAAAACAGCGCTACCAACCTCACACTTTTGAAAGCACTGTTGCCGCTTGCTGGTAAAAAGTCGCAGCATCTCAAAGTCCGTCTTGTGACGGAAATTTGTTTGGTTAATCTCTGTTGATGAGAATCTTTGAATGAACAAGAAAAATGTTTGTTTATACCTATTACGAACTTAATTGGCCTTTGTTTCGATACCGCGATGACAAACTGCGTACTGCGCCATTACGATAATTGCGGAGTTACGCTCAGACTAAAAATGTCGCCATCGGGGAACTTATGCACATGTTGGTACCATTGTTTTTTTTCTCTCTCTTGCACCTACATGCTTTGTCTGTGAAAGTGGAACACGCAGCCTTTGGGAAATAAGGCCTGAATACATGCTCAAATTTCCGTCAATTTCTGATCAAAGTGATGACAAAAATGGCGGCTGAGAATTATCTAAATTGGTATCTAGAATTAATTAAAACAGCGCGTGTTGATTGAAATAAGCATGAAATAAGCATGGTTGTGTGAAAATCAGATGAAGGATAAGACCCACAGTTCCATCATCTACCATCAAATTTTTGCAGGCTGCAACAAATTGATGGTAGATGGTACCTACGCACAAGTCAGCATTTGATTGGAAATTGATGAAATCTGAGCGTGTATCCAGGCCTTTAAGAATTACGTTGCGATCGTGTGAATGTGCGGAAAATGCACTTTATTCCGGTAATAACAAGTTTTGGAATGTTGAAAAATTACCATGACTAGACTAGTCAAAGTGCGCCGATAAAAGCGCCAAAATATCACTAGAAATTTATCGAAATTTTCACGGCTGAAAACGCACTGTCTGGCGGGTTCAAAAATTGGAAAGCGCGAATACACGGCTGGATACGGATACCTGCGAAAATCATATCCGGCAATCCGATAATCGCCGGATACCTACCCGGCCCAACTCTATTTGAAATAGTGCGTTGAGAATGTGCATAGGGGCCCATCCATAAATCACATTGTCGATTTTTTCTAAATCTTAACACCCCCCTCCATTTCCAAAAACACTCTTGAGAATGACTTTAATTCAGAGTCTAATTTCGGAAAAGAAACTCTGGAACATATATTTTACCTCTCTATTTTTCTTTCTTCCTAGTATTTTCATTCCTCTAAATTTTCGAGCTAGAGGCTCTCTCAGCTTTATATCATCAGGCTTGACTTTTCCTCTCCCTTTTCTTTGGACCTGAAACTTTCCCTCTAGGGTGTGTCAGTTTATGTATGGACAGCTCTCCATGGTGAATTTTTGGAATTTGGTTTGGTACTATTTTACAATCAGTCATTAATTGACTCTCGGAAGTGTATTAATAACATAACTTTATTTTGTATTGGTGATTATGTTACCGTAATAAAAAAATGTTCATCGATTTTCTCTTGCCTCTTGACTTTTTTAAAATTATGATAGGAATAATAAAATAGCTACCTGATCATCCTTCAAGCAGGAGGGAATTCTAATTTCCTAAGTTCTTTCTACGTTTGGAACATCAACCTCCATTAAGGTGAATCCAGGCTCAGAACTTCGCCATTTGGCCACCACGTCGCGCTGCTCAGAATAGCCGTATATATTTGCCAAAATAATAAAAACCGTAATACTTATTCAAGATTGGGGATCCAGGGGATATGGCAACATACTTGAGGAACACTCAGTAAAAAAATCTTCTTAAAATTCCCAAAAATAAAGTCATAACTAGTAACTACGGCGGAAAGTAATTCCCATTGCAGCAATGGGAGAGAGAGAGGCAGAACATGAGGGAGTCGGTTGCGCGCTCGGCCGCCGCCTCTGAGCTGAAAGTTTCAGCTGTACTTTCTCTGCGCTTGTAATTCTAATTGCCAATATTTTTGGCTCAAAAAATCAAGCAAAAAATAATCTATATTTTGTGGATCTGCTTTTTGTAATTTGAGGAATATTATTTCAGGAATCGTAGAAGGAAAGTGAAATTCTCAGTGGTGACTGGTGGCGCTATCTCTAATCTTGAATTATGCCTAATCGAACCCTGGATTCACCTTAAAGCGAGGGTATAGACAGTTGTGAAACTCCGAAAATCCGTCAGGCCTTCACCGATGCCTCCGCGAATAAAGTTAGGGCCCAGAAATGCAGCCAACCTATGAATTTCAATTATCCAGAGCGATTTACTAATACAATTGTTACGAACCATCGTTTATAAAGCACGCATTTGACTTAGTTTTTGCATAAATTTACTCATTTTTGCGGAAGAACGCTCATTTATACAGGGTGATCCAAAAGTCCCTTCCACCCCCGCTAACTTTTTACCTAATTGAGGTAAAGATTTGAAATTTGGGGGATATTCCTAGGTCAAAGGGAGCTACTTTTTGGCCCCCCTAAAATTTTCAGGGGGGCCCCCCTTGGGGGGGCAACGGCCCCCAACTTTTAATTTTCAAATGGGAAGACCCCCTTTGTGACAGCTCGTTCAATAGAGCATAAAAAAAGAAAACTTTTCGCGCCAACCCGAAGTCAATATCTCAAACCGTTTCAAAATGGCGGCCGGTTAAAGTTTAAAATGGCGGAAAATTTTCACTTCGGTTTTTTTCCTGATGGATTTGCCTAAAACTTGGAATTTGAGAGTATTTTGGTAAAAAATAAACAAATTTGAACTTAGATTTCTAAAAAAATCAATTTTTGGTTATTTTGAACTTTAACTGGCGGCCATTTTCGAAATTTCGGTTTTTTCGAAAACCTAACGTCAAATTCGTTTTTCTTGTGTCAAAATACCCCTCCATACCGATTTTCGCGCAAATCTATCGACAAATAACCGGTGTGAATTTTCGGCCATTTTGAACTTTAACCGGCCGCCATTTTGAAACGGTTTGAGATATTGACGTCGGGTTTGCTCGAAAAGTTTTCTTTGTTTATGCTCTTTCGAACGAGCTATCACAAAGGGGGTCTTCCCATTTGAAAATTAAAAGTTGGGGGCCGTTGCCTCCCGAGGGGGGCCCCCTTGGAAATTTTATAGGGGGGCCAAAAAGTAGCTCCCTTTGACCTAGGAACATCCCCCAAGTTTCAAATCTTTACCTCAATTAGGTAAAAAGTTAGGGGGGGTGGAACGGACTTTTGGATCACCCTGTAGGTACTCTAGACCCAAAAATGGCGGTGCTTTGTTTTGGTTTTTGTTGATGGGAGGGGGGGGGGTCATTGCCAACTTTTGACGGTTACCACCAACCGCACTTGCTGCCAACCGTACTACATCTTAGATAATTTTTCTCAAAAATTGCACACGATTAGCCTTAAAAATGTGTAAAGAAGTCTCAATAGTGCATGTAGGTAAATTTCTCGTTACGATAAGCAAAGAAAACAAAGAAAACTACATTTTGAGTCATTTTGCATTACATTAATTTATGGCGTCCGCCATTTTTGGGTCCTAAGGGCTCCATTCAGCCTAAGATGGCTCAGGCAATCAGAGGTGGTAACACCAGTGGCCATACTCTCTTAAAATAGGTACTCTATTTGGGTCCTACTCCTATGCCTCTCCATAGAGTCCCTTTATACCCAGAGTTACGACAACTCGATTATCAGCTGACTGACAGCCGGCCTTGGCTGGCCATGGAGGCCGAAACGAGTGCACCCAAACGAACGATATTGAGGGATAAGGATCAGGAATCCTGCGATGTCTGTCACACAAAAACAACAACATCAACAAATTGATTAATTAAAAAGAAAATGAGATTGGTTTGTGAATAATTTCTTATTCTCTTTTCATTTTGGACCGATGGAAATGACAATTTACTCTTGATAAACCACAATTAGGTGATATTTTCATTATTCTTTTTCACATTCGAGGTACCGCCGTCTTGGTGCACTCGTTTCGGCCTCCATGAGCGAGAACCAATCAGAATTGGATTTTTTTTTAGGCCACTTTCAGCCGAACCAAAAGTGAGTTGTCTTAACTCTGGGTATAAAGGGACTCTAATTTCTTAATCTATTTTCATTTTGGACCGATGGAAATAACAATTTACTCTTGATAAACCACAATTAGGTAATATTTTCATTATTCTTGTTCACATACGAGGTACCGCCATCTTGGTGCACTCGTTTCGGCTTCCATGAGCGAGAACCAATCAGAATTGGATTTTTTTTTAGGCCACTTTCAGCCCAACCCTGGCCCAACCAAAAGTGAGTTGTCGTAACTCTGGGTATAAAGGGACTCTACCTCTCCATGGAGCCCAGTGGCCATACTCTCTCAATACAGGTAGAGTCCCTTTATACTGAGAGTCAAGACAATTCGGCTCATGGATGTCACAAACGGGAATAAAGATTACAGAAATTGAACGTTTTTCGTAATCTTTGATCGGCCCATTCTCAAATGCCTTTCTCCGTTCCTCCTCTCATTCCGTTTGTTCCTTGCCGAACCCGTAATTCCCTGGTCCATTCCAGATTATAATCTTTGCAATTGGTGAAAATGTAATCTTTATTCCCGTTTGTGACACTGTGGAGGCCTAAAATCATAGAGTACATAGAGTCGTAATGTAATTGGGAGAGCTGGCGCCACTTTTAAGCATTTTCCATGTCCCGAATTCCGAGACTCCTGTGTGACGCCGGGTCACTTTTTCGATACATAATCGATTGTTTGCGATACACGGGTACCCGGCCATCCGATGACAACAACAACAACAACGAAGGAGATAGGAATCACCATGTATTCCACACCGCCATTTTGGATCGAAAATGTATCGAAAAAGTGACCCGAACTCGGCGCACACCGGGCTCGGAACTCGTCGAGCAGAACATGGCGCCAGCTCTCCCATTTACATTACGACTCTATGTACTCTATGCCTAAAATACGGGAACCAATCAGAAATGGATTCAAATTGTCTTGACTCTCAGTATAAAGGGACTCTAAATACAGGTACTCTAACAAGGTCCAGTCACACGATCAAATTGAGTCATCAAATTGGGCCTCTCATTGGTCGCATCCTCATCTCAGGTCTTTTTCCACCAATCAGAGCTTCAATTTGATGGCTCAATTTGATCGTGTTACTGAACCATATAGGTTCATTTCATCGGGGGACACGGGCTAAAGCACACCCTCATTGAAGGTGAATCCAGGCTTGGAACTTCGCGATTTGGCCACCACGCCGCGCTGCTCAGAATAGCCGCATATATTTCCCACAATAAGAAGAACCGTAATACTTATTAAAGATTAGAGTCCCTTTATACCCAGAGTTAAGACTAGAGTCCCTTTATACCCAGAGTTAAGACAACTCACTTTTGGTTCGGCTGAAAGTGGCCTAAAAAAAAATCCAATTCTGATTGGTTCTCGCTCATGGAGGCCGAAACGAGTGCACCAAGATGGCGGTAGGTACCTCGAATGTGAACAAGAATAATGAAAATATTACCTAATTGTGGTTTATCAAGAGTTAATTGATATTTCCATCGGTTCAAAATGAAAATAGATTAAGAAATTATTCACAAACCGATCTCATTTTCTTTTTAATTGATCAATTTGTTGATGTTGTTGTTTTTGTGTGACAGACATCGCAGGATTCCTGATCCTTATCCCTGATATGCTGATAACAATAGTGCAATCATGAAAGAAATAGACTATTTCTTTCATATTTCATGAAATAATTAATTTTTTCTTAGCCAGATTAGTTCGGTACTAGAAATTCAAATTCAAAGCTATTCACTCGATCCAGGTTCTCTAATTTTCGTGTCATTTTCATAGTTCTGTCGTCAAAAGTTCAAAACTTGGAAAATCTGTTTAAGTTGTACTTATCCCTATTTATCGCATCGTGTTTCTTTTACAGCCAATTAGTATCAATCAATTTTTTGTTCTTTACGCTTAAACTGTATAGTACTTGAATTTTTATCATACTGTTTGATGAGTGGATAAAAATTGAGGAGTTGAATCATCGGATTCTTCAGAAAGAAACATCTTCTAATTGCATTGAGAAAATACCTGTCACACTTCAACTCAACAATCCGCAATGTATAAATTTTTGCTCACTCTTGTTTCGTACTGGAGGTTCGCCTTCTTGGGCCCTAATATTCTGGATCTATATGTTTAGATGAGTGACATCATTATAAGAGCCAAAGATTCAACCAGCAATTCTTGATATTCATTCACCTACAACTCAGTAAAGGATTCAGCCACCCTCAATTAAGAATGAGAGGTCATATTGATGGTGCAAGTGTGTTCACAAGTTTTTAACTTTAATATATCATAATTGTATACAAAAATGTTGAATTTCCTTTCCCTTCTGTAAAGCAATTAATCTTGTATACTGTAAGTGAAACTTATCTCGCTCAGAAATTTCTTTACAGCCAATAATTGTTTTACTGTTCACAATTTTCTCTTGGAGAGGAAAATGAGCTTCATCCAATGAACTCAGACTCGTCCAAGTGATTGTGAAAATTTTGGAACTAACCAGATATTCTCGTGAATAACGCGAATGACACATTTTTCCTCTGTGTATGGGCATCATTGAAAAAAGCTTATGTTATTTATCATTTTATTTCTTTGATCTCCTGTAAGAAAGTGACACATTAGGCTTTAAATTTTTTCATGACGCTGCTGATCAGCTTCTTACCGTTTTTGCAATTGGGGGAAAATTACAAATCAAATGAGATTTGACTTGCTCTCAGTATGCTTATTGAAGAAAAAAAATAAAAGCGGGGCATCTCGGTTTTTGTGCAATATGATCGACAGTCTCCTCGTCAAAGACATATAGGCATCCTTGATCAAATCAAGCTATCAAATGGCTAAGGCCGGAAACTTTTTCTTCAAATAAAAATGGCCCACTTGTATTTGATGAGATGAGTGCACACCGATTCACCAGCTTAGCTATATCAATTACCTGCGGGCTGCTGGTAAGTATTTCGAAAAAAAGTCTCTGACCTCGTCCATTTGATTTTAACTCTGAAATCTCTAGTAAGTAGGTAGTACCTGCTCCTGCCAATGCTTTCAAGCAGATGTTACTTACTTATCACTTGGTCGACTTGACTGATTTTAAAGGTAGCTATTGAAATACTCATGCTTTGATTCTAGCATGCCATCATGTTTCGTGATGGGAATGTAGATAGAAATGTGATGTATAGGTAACAATAATCAAGGAAAATGAGGCTCAAGGTGAAAGTACACAATTTTCAATTATCAAAAACAATGACCAAAGTTATCACTCTAAGCCCAATTCACATACACTATCAGTCTTTTTATCCAACATTATCTAATTGGACGAAAAGTTGGATAGTGTGATACTGATGCGATAAAAGACAATTTGATGAAAAACAGAACAGAAGCTTGAATGTGATGTCACATTCAACGTGGCGCCTCCAATTGGATGGAAAGTTGGACGGAAAGTAATCGAATGAAATTTTTATCGCGTTCAACTTTCCATCCTACTTTTAACTTTCCTTTCCTTTTTTTTTTTTTACGTCCAATTATGTTGGATGAAAATTTTGATAGTGTGAATTGGGCTTTACCTATTTTCTGTTCCCCTTCTAAATACCTCCATGAATATACGATTCAAACTTTAGGTCCTTTTCTGCGGAACTCAATTACACATGGACTAAGTATTTAGGTAATGTAGATGCACCAATCTTGAACCGTAGGAATTAGATTCAAAGGTTTATTCCTCTACAATGATGAGGACCAAGTTTGAGGATTTTTTGCAACGTTAAAAATATTTTGACAGAGAAAAATTTAAGGCTCTTGTTTAATGCAAAACTACACCCAAGTCATTTTTTCCACAATGCACCTAGCATTGATAATGATTGCAAGGATCGAAAAGCTTCAGCTATAATTTAATAAATATCGACGGTGAAACTACCAAACCACGTATCCCGGTTTGCGACGTCGCAGACTTCCTGTCATACTTTATTTTTTAAATGAAAACCTACTCAACGTCCAGTCTTGAAAATTTCTGTCCTTTTTACTCTTTGTGCGGAGAAAATTCTGTGAAAATTTCAAGGAATGATAGTGATTTGGTCTACTTCAAAAAAATAAAATGTGAGCGTAGATTTTTAAACACCGCAAACGAGATACGTGGTTTGGTAGTTTCACTGTCGATATCTTTCTTAACACCTTGGTGTCATATATTCATATATTCCTACTATAAGTAATGCACTTTATTGCATTTCTGTCAAACTATTCGTTCAAATGATGATACTGCGATGTTGCTTACAAGTTTCTAGAAATTTTAAGGAACAATGAGTCAAAATTGCATCACGACATCAAGTCTAATGATATTGAGATCGTGTCAGTAGTTCAGCATCAATATTGCTGGATGAAAACCCAGTTTGCTTATGAGGAAAGCATCAGTATTTGCTGCTCTCAATTCGAACTTTATCAGGTACCTATTGCGCAACATGTATGAAATGGTAAGAAAAGAGGAACTAATCTAGCCATCATAACCAGAGACAAATCATGATGGGTGGGTAACATGGCAAAATGTAAAGTATGTAATAGTAGTGTAACAGAATGGTACTATGATCTTCCTGGCTAAGATTCTCACTGATACTTCTTGCATCCTTGGAAGCATTCTGTTTTGACACAAACAGAAGCTTCACGAAAATTCAAATAAGTAGCTCATGTATATAAAGGAAAAATATGTAAAATATATACATTACAAAAATATAGACAAAAATACAATGGCAGTGAGTGATAAGCAAGTGATAAGAAGAAATCAGTTTCAAAAGCGCGGTGTTTACGTTGAGATAGTTGAGAGGTGACACTCCTTGGTGTACGTTGCTTGTCGTTTGCCGCATCTCAGCAGGAAGCAAAAACCCTAAACTAACCCTTCTTACTTCTTAGTTCTTTCTTATACTGGCCTCTGGGCACTGGGTCACTGGTTCAGGTGTACTTTCGTGTCGTGTTTTCATAACCGATCGTATTAATCATTTTCTTACGCCCCGCAGTTCTCTTATTTGTGCTTTGTTTAATATTTGCTGATAAATATCTCAGATATCATTCGTCGGAAGCTAATTCCTCCTAAGGTATAGTTTGGCTCACCACAGTTTCGTTGCACTTCGGTTCCCACCCTCATTTTCCCTCGCTCACCATCAGCCATGATTCCATGCTATTATTTATCCATCGCTGACTTGCAAAGCCTCATTTAGGCATATCAGGAGGTGCTAACTTACTCTACGGACCGAAAACAGACTGGTTTTTCCCCCCCAACTGTCATGGCTATTTACAATGAATGAGAAAATGAGATGCATGTGTATCTGAGTGAGGTAAAACCATTACAAACCAATGTTAGGTTTCTGGAAGTTTTCTAAATATTATTTGCTGTTACTGATTTTGCAGAATATGAGAGCACCGAGAGTTGTTTTTGTTACAGTTATACTCTTTCAATAATTATTCTCAGCTTATTATTCCAATGCATCTGCTTGAGGGCGATTTCAGGATAACAGGAATAGCTTAAATGTGCAACACCTCAAAAATAAAAGTGCAGCAATTTTAACGAAATTTCATTACTTCATTTTAAAACTTCCTTTTTCTAGATTTGCCATGAATTATTTTGATTCAGTTCAAAGTTATAGTGATTGAAAACCAAGTCATTGGATCAGGTGTCAGCTCTCCCCGCAGGACTGCCGGAGGTCCATGCAAGCACGGCGGCACTGCCAAATTGTGTTAGTTACGCAGCTGACACTCGAAAATGTGAAATAAAAGATGATATCTACACGAGATGAAGTTTGGTAATTCTTGAGATATGTGGTAGAATTAATGCTGCCTTAAAAGTTTACCAAACTTCAGGGACTTCCTTTTGGTTCAATAATATTAAATTGAGGATTTTGTTTAGTGAGGAATTAGTGCTACACATCTAAAAATCCATGGTTTTCATCTAAATTGAAGTTTTATTGTGAAAAAGCTGACTTATTAGTAATAGTTTAGTCGGGAAGACTTGAGCGAACAATTTGATGACAGTCTTGAAACCGCAGCTCCATCTGGCGAGATGAACACTGCACTCAATACAGCTGCTGAGGTATGTTGCCAAACAGGGGGTCACCTCTTTCTGATGACTTTTCTCGCTTTAAATTAATCATTCAAGTTCAAAATGGCAATTTTCTTGAACATTAGAGTCTCTTTTCAACAAATACTGCTAAAGAATCCATGATCAGTACTGATTTATCAATGCAAATTGCCCTCATACTTACCTACTTCAAAATCAGGGTTGGCGATGCGTATTCGACCGGACATTTTTTACCTTTAAAGTCTCATATTATCAAATATTATCATAATTCATCAATTTTTCTTAGCATGGATAAGTTCTTACACATCATTCCTTTTGATTTATCAACTTGGTTTTTCTATTGTTTTGCCCTAAGTCGTTTCTAACCCACGGCAATTTGACTATTCTTCTTCTCATGAAATCACCCTTGAGCTAAACACTCTCCCCTCAGTCTCGTACTGACATTCATTATTTACAGCTCAACATTTTTTACTCTGATTGAAAATTTTGAATTCTTTAGCCTTGTTTTCCTCCTAAAATAGTATGGACCCAGCTTTATTTTACCACATTCTTAATTAATTATTTTCGGCTCATTCATCAGACTGACCCAGTAACAATCATTCTTATTCATAATGTGTTCACTCTCTGTTTTAACGTAGAGAGATGTAAATTAACTGCGAGTGTTTTCATCCCTTTACTTACACAAAAAATTTTTGTGTTGAGAACGCATGAATTTTTTTGGCAGTTCCCATGTATCATTTTTTGCAAGTATTACCATACGGTTGAGAACTTACCTTGGATTATTGCCGCACTAATTGGATTGAATTTTGCAAAAAGGAACCAAGAGTGTTTCATTGCTGCTAAGATAGTGCAGCTTACATTGCTTGCAATTAAATTACTGAAACCTTGCAAAAAGTTAAATCTAAGTACTACAGTAATTTTCGTATTGAATTCATAGTTTATAGGTGATAAAGATAAAACTTGCTTAGATGATCAGTTTATTTTTGCAAGGTGAAAAAAGTTGCATAATTTTTGCGACATTGGAATACTCGTGGTTTCTTTTTGCAAAATGCAATTCAATTACGAGTACCTCTGCTTTCTGCAAAGAAGGGATGTTGCACAAGGAAAATTTTGTACACTACGCTTCGTTTCTCCTTTGAATGGTAGTGCTGTACTTGGCAAGTCCTATAGTGCAGGAACTTCACCACCACACAACCAGCAGGTCAGGATCGGTCGCATGCGAAGGAGGGACGACCTAGAAAACAGTTAGCAAAATTAGGACCGCTGTTGTATATGAATGTAGTATTGCAACTTTTCCTTACAATCAAGGTTGATTTGTATTAATTTTCATTTTGTAAGAAGCTTGTTAAAAGAATACCTGTCACTCGAATCCTGATCTGGGAAAACACAGTCTCTATTTTATTCTCTCTTTTTTATCAAGAGGACAAGTCAACATGATCGCTTATAAATTTTTATGATTTTTCTTTATGGTATGAAAAATGTCTGTCCTAATTGATATTATAAAAAATGAAATATGAGCGGATAGTTGGGAACATAGCAATGAAAATATGTCGTTTTGGGGATACGTAGCACTCAACATCATTGACAATTTTTCATTTATTTATTTAAAAGTAAAAATATTTATACAAGCTATAAAGTGACAATAGAGAGTGCATTTAATCATGCCATTGAGCTCGATTTCTTAGGCAGGACAAATGCATTTCACATTAACAAGAATCAAATACAAAATTCAATCAAATAAAAATTGTTAATTTTGATTTGGGTGGCTAACATCTGGTGCTCCCTCTTTCAAAACCGTAGACTAAAGTGCTGTGTGTTGTCTCAGAGAAAAGAAAAAAAAAAGGAAAAAAAAGAAAGGAAGAAGGAAAGAAAAAGACAACTGAATAATGCAGAATCTTTAACACATGAAAATATGAAAACGAAAAATAGAAATTTAAAAGTTTAAATCCTTAATTTGGACTCCTTAGACTGCATCACTCCTCCAAGCATATCACCCCTCAGTTTTAAAAGCCAGTGTTGTATGCCTGAGGACAGGATAGTGTAGTTGTATTCATAAATTGCAGACTGGATCTCAGTTGGAATTCGATTATGGGTGGTTATGAGATTATATAAAGTGGCATGTTCAAAGACAGTCAGTCGAAACAATGGAATCATTGCAATTGACTGTCTTGCCCCTCTTAGTTTGTTGCTAGGATATCTGAATTGATGTGATGCTTGAAGGACTGATACAATTTAAGTAGATCCAATTTGTAAAGCTATTTAAATTAAGGGATGTTCAAAAGGGGACAAAGCTCCTCCAATGGGCATCTCCTTAGCATCGTAGAATTACTGTAACAACATATCTTTGTAATTTTTCTAGGTACTTTTTCTATAACTCCTTTCGCTGCTTCTCCATAAACTCCTATTCTGTATAACATAACAGACTGGAATAGGGCAAAGTATGTTGCCCTTAGGGTGTCTAGGTTAAAAAATCTTGTCAGATGGGCTATAGTGGCTATTATTATGCGGAGTTCACAAATAAGATATTCTACATGTTTGTCCCAGGATAGGTAGGAATCGATAATTAGTCCTAGATATTTTACCTCCGTCCGTAGTGTGAGAGGCTCACTTGCATATTGCCCCTTTTTACATAGGGCTCCTCGACGTATTTCCAGATGCAGGGCAAGCCACTAATCTGGGCGGAATGGAATAGGGCAAAGTATGTTGCCCTTAGGGTGTCTAGGTTAAAAAATCTTGTCAGATGGGCTATAGTGGCTATTATTATGCGGAGTTCACAAATAAGATATTCTACATGTTTGTCCCAGGATAGGTAGGAATCGATAATTAGTCCTAGATATTTTACCTCCGTCCGTAGTGTGAGAGGCTCACTTGCATATTGCCCCTTTTTACATAGGGCTCCTCGACGTATTTCCAGATGCAGGGCAAGCCACTAATCTGGGCGTTTGTGCAAGAAAAAGGGCACACCTACTGTTTTTTGTGAGTATTTAAATTGTTCTCAAGCCATGGTTTAATTATTTTATTGAGGGTGTAATTGATGTGCTGTCTTAATGTTTCCCATGTAGGCATCTTCCCACATGAAAATAGCCACATCATCTGGGTTTTCAGATACTATGTTACCTATTACATCTGAGATAACTCATCAGTCTTATCTTTATTACCTACTTTCTCTAATATCTTACTTAGATAAATTGGAAAGAAATGATATAGGACGGTAATTTACAGGTTCAAACTTGGATCCACTTTTTTAATAGATTGGGGTGACAATTGCTTCTTTCAATTTGCTTGGAAAAACCCAGTAGTAAAAACAATATTGACTATATGTGCTATTAGAGAAGCAAGAGCTGGTGCGCTCATTTTTAATATTGTACAGATATGATCAATTCCTTATGACATAGTGGATTCAAGGCTTTTGATAACTTGTTCTACTTACTTCCACTATTGATGTTGGTCTGAGAAATAGGGATTCAAGATTATTCGACTTTCTAGGCTTTTTAGTTTGAGTTTCTTGTTTAGAAGCTAGCAATTCACCTACTAAACTAAAATATTCATTTAACTTATCAGGTTCAAGATCTGCAGGTGCCTCCCCAGCCTCAACAACTTTTCCTCCCAACTTATTAATAAGCTAACAGACAAGGTGGAGATACCTAAATCTAATAATTTTGTGCAATACTTAGTGCTGACCAACCATCTTTCATGGAAGGAAAACATGACTCTTGTGTAGAAGACTCCCACCTTCAGTCTCTTTTTTTATTTCGATTATTCCAATTGTTTACCTACCTGCACCCTCCCCTCCTTATTCACTCAGCGCTTCAAGTAAAAAAAAGTGTTTTGAAGGAGAGAAAAAGCTAAAGTTGACACAGAAGGCTTAGTTTTGCCGTAGGTCTTTATTGAATGCAGCTATCATATCATCTGATCAGAGGTCAACGAAGTACTTTATGATTTTTAGGCAACCATTTACCTGACCTGTGAAGGCCTTAAATTGCATCCTATTTTTTCTCTTAATAATTCACGCTCTCCACAAATTTTAATAGTATTCTTACTTATTTGCAAATGGTTGTTGCAGGTACTCACTATGTTGAGTTGATAAAACACCTCTCCCAATCCTAGTCTCAAGTTGGTAAAAGAGGGTTGGCAGCCATGAATGTGGTAAGTTGTAAGTTTGTATTTCGTTCTTTTAATCATCTTCATCATTAATTTTCCTCTCCATCATTCCTTCCTTCTTTCATATTTCTTTTACTTACAAGCATTAAGGACTGATTTGGCTTGGTCTGATTTCAAGCAAGAAGGTGGATGTTCAAATCTTGTGAAACTGTATAATTCACGATTTATGAATCAATTTAATGTTTTGAACATGATTACAAATACCAAATAGGAAGGTGAAATGAAATAAACGAATCAAGTAATGTAAGTAAAGAATTTCCGTGTGTTCGTTTAATGATTGGTTAGAGATTTTTTGAAAATCCTCAAGTCCTGAAGTCATATCTTCCTTCAGAGTTTTGAAATGAGACTGTGCAATTGTTTACGGCTCATAATACCTACATCAGTGATGAAGCTGCCTTAAATGCGTATCTCAGTTTGCAACACTAGAGACTTCATGTGATTACTTATATTTTAAATGGAAAAATACCCACCCAGTGTCATACTCTTTATAACATCCCTAATAATGCTCTCTGAGTGAAGAAAATTTTGTGAGAATTTCAAGCAACTGGTAGAGTTTGTTGGTTATCTTGTGATGAAATAAAAAGAAAGAGATATGTTGAAACACAGCAACATGTGCACATGCGTCTTTGCAGCTTGACTGTTAATATGTGTGTACGCGGTATTACAAAACAGAGGAAGAAGTATGAAGATGATGAAAGAAGAGGAAGAAGTGAGAGTAATGAAAAGGATTTGAAACGAATAAAGAAAGGAGGAGAATAAGTTGAGGAAGGATACAATGAAGAAAATGAGGAAGAAGTGATTCCAATTCTCTTAAATCTCAGGATACAGATTTGATTGGTTTACTTGGAGCTCCCCTGATGCATATGTAACCAAATCTATTGGAAAAAGTTTTCACCCTATCACAACTCCCATCTTTAAATTGACGCTGAATCTGCAGAGACGCATATCCCCCCTTGCAGCATTGCAGACTTCCTGCTGTGTTTTATCTTCTGAATAAAACCTTTCAACATAATTTCTTCAAAACTCGGGTAATTTTGCTCTTCTGCGTGAAGAATATTCTGTGAAAATTTCTAGCCCTAACGTTTGGTCGGTCTCCTTTGAAAACACAAAAAATAAATGGAAATTTTGAAACGTTGCAATCGATGCACGCATTTTTGCAGTTTATCCATCGAAATATAGGAAGAGTTCTGTGTGGCAGTTTCCTACTAACCCGTGTGCGTTTTTCCTACAAATTTGCCCCATTATCTCCTTTGCTGACTCCTGGTAAAGTGGTAAAGCATGTGTAAAGGATGTCGTGTACAGTGTGGGTTACTTTTCTTCTTTTCTTTTCTGTTTAAGTAAGAGTTTAGAGGGTTTTTTCAAGTAGAGCCGAATCCCTGTCTCCAAGGGTTTTTGTGAAGTACTCATCCTTTTACGAAGTCTGTGAATCCTATTGTATGAATACTGTGTTTCTGAAACTACTTCTAGCAGTGAATAAATGCAATTTATTTTTGCAGTGTAAGGATTTACTGAACGCCAAAGCATAAGTCTCTGCTTTCAACGGTAGTCTAAAAGAGTAGTGAAAATTGCTGATGTAACAACAAAGGTCATCTAATACGGCTTGGAAAGCAAAAAATTAGTCGAAAGTATGTCAGAGCTTTCTTGCACCATCAGTATAAATGCTCAGAATTTTTAAGTTTTCAATGATTTATTGAAATTTGCCTTCCTGTGTTTCTTAATGTTATGCCATCACCTGTAAGGGAGGGTGGGTGTGTGTTTGTGATGCGACGACAGCATTTCAGTTTAATTGCTACCTGTGACCCAACTTTAAAGTCCAACCCCTACATTTCTGGAAAAAAAAAATTTCTGGTGAATGTTATGGATTTCTCATGGATGAAAGCGGAATTTGAAAAAATGTCAATTGATTTCGTTTTTGTTGATCAGCTTAATGTAGAGCACGTGAAATAATTTCTTGTCAGTTAGTCATGATGCAGCATACTTCAAGAAGTTCTCACAGTGAAGAAAAATTCCTCCTCCTCTCCTCCTTCACAGTGAAGAAAAATTTGCTTTCAAATTAAGTAATGAATCAATTTTCGTTTTCTTTTAGGAAAAATAGTACGCAACATACATTTTTGATAGAGAATATACCTACCTTATCTTAAAGTTTCTTGTGACCTGATCGTCACTTGCTCCAAATTCAATAGCATAATTGCCTTTTTGGGTATTTCAAGTTCACCCTAGCAGATTGCATTTTCTTGAACAACAAGTAACATGCTCCTAACTTATCTATACTTCAGGATAAGCCATTATTCCTGCGTCAACTCTGCTCTTGCCCTGAAATCTGAAAACTCCAATATTGATTGTTTAAATTTTTTGGCTCTATCCTCCCTCTCCTATGGAGTAAACCTAAGTAGCACTATCCTTATATTCTTCTCTCTTGAGTACCTTTTCTCCTTATCAGTGTTTTCTGTAGGAGACCAATTCTAGAGCTTCATAGTGGGGCTGATAAGCTGAACAATTGTGCAGTCCCACTTTAAAGCATGAAATTTTCAAGGTATCATCTCTACCCGAAGTATAAAGACTTATTTTAGCTTCAGTCCCTAAAAATCTGAGCCCCCTGGGTGGTTTTCAAATTTTGAATTGTCCATAATGTACCACTAGACAGGGTAAGAAATTTCTCAAGTACTGCAGCACACGTTTTCTCATCAAAATTTTATTTAACGAAAGTACTAGGGACTAATGTCGCCTTTAATAGGATTTTATCATCCTCCCTCTTAAAAGTTACTTACTCAAACAGTTACCGTTGTGAAGTCATGGAAAATCCAAAACTTGGAGAGTCCTGTTCCTCTAGGAGGCTCAGATTCTTAGAGTCTAATGCCAAATCAAGTTTCTTACAGGTAAAGATCAAACCCTAAAATGTTCATGCTAAAATCAGGAATTGCATGATTTGGATGATCTTTTCTAGCTATCGGCACCATTAGTATCCTAGAAGATCACATAATTCCCACCCAATTTTCTTAAGCTTATCCAAAGATGAGCAATGTTTTTCAGTTTATGTTGTGAGCAATACAATCTTTACACTAAATGTGTGCAACAGCACTTAGGATTGCAAAAGTGCATGTAGGCAGGAGACAAAAATGTCAGAAATCATTAAGGACACCCCTTCTTTATTGTATCTGTTTCTCTTGTCCCTCTTCTCAAGGAAACAGGGAGGAGCCTTTAAAGCAAGTAACGTTTTCAACTACACAAGGAAGTAAAATGAATGACTGCATTAAATGCTTGTAGGCAAAGTACAACTTAATGTAAAGTATGAACAATGTGACAATGAGAAGAAGAAGAAGTAAGACTAGGAGGGGGTGGGGTGCATTCAAACCTTATCAGGCTTAACACTAAATGCACCTCAAAAGTCTTGCTTTGGTAGCTAAAAATGTATTTTTGCTTTTATTTTTGTTAGGTATTAGTCGCTTGCAATATTTTCATCTGCATCATCAAGTATCTTAATGATTCCGAAAATTTTGCTCTTTAGTTTAGCCTACCAAAATAGAGAGTGTGATGGTCAGGAAAAAGAGTGAACGAACAATGATGAGCTTGAATATGTGTTGACATTCCTATATTTCCGAGCTGAGCATTCTGCCAAAGTTCCTAGAACTCATATGGTTGGAGACTCAGAAAAATTGATATTCTTGATGTTGCCGAAATACTTATGCTGCTTTAAATGTGTCTCTTTGTCAATAAGAATCATTATAAATTTGCCATTTTTTCCATAAAAGTTTTTAATTTCATTAAGGAAGTCTCTTGAATATAAGGTGCGAAGTCAAGTGCATTTACAGAAGAAAGAAAGCACAGCAAAGTCGCACATTCTCAGCAATGTCAGATTGACATGTGCCTTTTCACAAGTTGGTCATAGAATCGTGTCACAATCCCTGTTTTTTGGTGCTTAGAATAAATTCTAAATTTTAACAATTATTAATGCACATAGTAAACCTTGAAACCCTCCTCTTTTGTGAGTCTCATTTTTAACGCACCTTAGAACAGGCTTCTGTAACAATTTCATTTTGCATAACCTTTGTTAACTTGTCTTTTTCTCTCATCTCCGAACCCCCCCCCCCCCCCCCCCCCCTCAATTCAGGCCGTAGATGAGAATCGAAATCCGTTATCACCTGAGGCAAAACCTTGGCACACACCCATTTCGTAAAGAGATGATAATAAAGGATCAACTTTACGTTAAGCCCAAATGTCAACAAATAAGGCAGAGTAAAAGTCAAAGTGCATCTGTCTCTCTGCCATGGTCATTCATCTATTCATGGTTTATTTTTACCCATTAATTTTGGCACTCAGTGGACAAGGGCAGGCGCATCAGACTTTTATTGAGACTTTATGAAGACTGTCAAAGCTTTTTGATTCTTTTGCAAAGTTTCTTGTAACTAGGTTTGCACAAATTATTTGGAGCCAATACGATTAAAAGTTCAGAATCCAAATTATTGCTCTGTTTGTATGCCCTTGAGTGGGAATTCTCTCGCCCATTTCTGATAAAGTAGATAGGAAAGAGGTTGGTTTCCAGGCTTCAGGGGAAGAAATCCAAGTGAGATAGGATATTTGAAATTAAGAATAAAGGGTTTGGAGTTTCATCCCTCTCGATAGGTTTAGTGAAGAAAACTAACTTGAGGAACACTTCTTGCGCATACAAGACATTTTTGGAGGAATTTGACTTTCGGAAGGAGAAATATTTTACCAGTAGTTACTGGCTCTTTCTAAAAACAACATATGTGCCATTAGTTTCTCTATGTAGATAGATGCTTTTATGGATGAGCCTGAAATAGTAATCTCGCATTGCAAGATGGTGTCTAGTTTTTGTGGATTAAGGTCCCTAATCCAGCGAACAGTCACTGCCCTTTCATTTGACTTTAGCCTCCATGGTTAAAACTCAACAGCTCAGATATGGATATGGAGGAAAACAAAAGTATCAAATCTATCAAAGATTCTTATTTCAAGTGATCGATACCTCAAAAGGCAAAACTTAGGATAAAAATGAAACATAAGTAGGCAACTATATGATTCCACGCTTACTGGGAATTAGATCCTACTGCCATAGCCAATTAAAATCCTTACACTTAGATAAAAGTTTTGAAAATAAAGAAGTCAGAAATTTTCCAAGAACGTTGGTCCTTTCGCACTTCCATAATAAAGATAATGATGACTGTCAACATTTTTTTCCAATCTGAAAGAAGTGAAAGAAATGAAAACTTGTTTTAATCACACAGCTAACCTGCGGTTACTGTACACTACCAAAGGAAGAAAACACCCTTGTTTGAGTTGCAGAGGTAAAATGTGGATAACTTGGAATTATAATGAAGTGAAAATTAGGTTTAAAAAAAAATGAGTTAACGATTTGGTAAAATGTGGAGCACTTCGAATTAATGAGTTGAAAATTAGGTTTAAAAAAATTGAGTTAAAGAGTTACAACTCTTTGAGTTACAGAGGCTCTAGGTTTTCTGTGGAAGGTTCTTGCAAAGGATTCTAATCAAAATTCTTCCGTACCAGCTTCTTGAAGTAGAATCAGCCTCCATCGATAAAACATCAATCATGTCAAAGAAATGCAGATCCTGAACTCTTCATTGAAAGAGGAGGAGGGGGGGGGCAGGTAGACTTAACTCTTTCAGTGGAGTATGAGAAAAATTGTGATCGAATGGCTTGTGGGTGCCTCTAATAACGGCTGAAGGATCGTTATAATTCTGTATGTATACATTTTTTGCAGCCTCTGTACTTCATTATCTCTTTCAGCTTTTTGACACCCTATATTTTCTCAGCAATCTACTGGACCAGTACAAGATTTTTCTGCTATCAATAGGTAATGATTTCCAAATAAGTCAGTCATTCTCTTATTTGGAATTTGACCCAGGTTTTTTATTGCTGCAAAACATCTCTACAAGGGCTGTGAACACCCAATAGGGATCGAGCCAGTGGCTAGGGGAGCCTTTCAGTAATATTTCCAGGGCTCTTGGTGGTCTCAAAAGCTCAAGGAAGTTATGGCAGAATAAATTGCGAAGCATTTTGGAATGAAACCCCAATAAAGCAGATGATTTTGTATTATTGCATTACAGTTAGGCAATAATTTAACGTTGTATATCAAAGAATGGTATAAATGGTTGTCTTTTTTATTCTTGTGCAAACACAGGGAAACATCAGGAATCACTTTGAGGTTTCGGAAAAATCCATGAGTCCTGTATTTAGTGATGGTACAGGTATCGTTGATGCAAAAAATTATTTGACTTATTGCTGTTACAGATTTTGGCCAGACCCCTTGGGGGAATTATCGCACAAAGCCAAGTCTTACAGTGACAGTCGAATCGAACGCATAGAGCTTAAAGAATGGCATCCTCGCCAAAAGTTACTCCCTCCGTTGCCTTGTGTACCAACGTTGCACCTGATATCAACAAAAACTTATATTGCAACCTGAAACTGCCTTACCGACTGGATAACAAGACTGAGAAAGAACCCGAACTGTCCAAATCCCCATCCTCCAACCGATACTCTACTCTCAAATATGAGTACCTGAACAGGAATCATGGACGGAGGAGGTCGAAGAGCGAAGGGGTAGATTTAGACTGCCTGCCACCCCAGCTCAACACTAATTCAAATTGTGCGAAAGAATCAAAACATGTAGATAGATTTCAGTGGAAACATCTTATAAGCATGGACGAATTCAATCACATTCCAAACAATCGCTCAGTGGACGTAGGAAGATTGATAACGTCACGAAATGACGAACCGCACCCGTTTTTGACCATAAGTTTGAAACGACTGAAAGAAACTAGCAATTCAAATCAAGCTTGTTCGAAGAAAAGTTATATAAACACGTGGAATCAAGAAGAAATGCGAGAGACGAGGAGTGCTTCCAGAAACAGGGCTCTAAAAAATGTCTGTAATGGCAGTGCAATCTTACCGGATAAAGCAACGAGTCATTTGCACCAAAAAAATCACATTTACGATGAGATACTCTTAAGGGACATGAAAATTGAAGAGCGATACAGAAAAGAGATGGAAGTTCTTCGATGCAAGTTGCATGAGCTTCAAGGAGTTGATGCCAAACGTATGAGGAAGCAGAATGAAAGCGATATTTTTGTAAGCGTGTCCAGTTTAGCCTCTGCAAACATTGCCAACGCTCCTAGTGAATCCAAGAGATTTGGAAACATCTCATCTGCATCTCACCGCTCTAGGGTGAGTACTTTCCTCTTCACCTTTCCAGAGGCTCTGTTCATCTTGGAGAGAGAAAACAAACTCATTGACCAGGGGGTATGCGATCTTTTCAACACCGGTTGCAATTTTCGACCACAGTTGCAATTTTCAACCGGCGGCCCACCAAGGTTTACTCACAAGCTCGTGAAACTTAATTTTCAAGAAGTCACAAAATGATTCATGGGAGGGGGGTAACAGTTAGAAATTAAAATCCAAGGAAATTGTCAGCAGTTGTGTGGCAAGTCTCACCACCCTCAATCCTGTAAACATGTAAGATGAATGATAGCAATACGCTAAGCTACCAGTTTGGACCGTTGAGCATTGAATTTATGAATGAAAGAAGCATACTCACTGATTAACTTTTCACTTAACATAACTTCTTTCAACTGATCTCTTTGCCAATCTTTCCTCCTCTATCGTATGAATCAACTTGTTTTTCTTTCCCTTTAAGGTATCCCCATTCATTTTCAAATATGCTTGCATTTATGCAAAATTAGTCTATCTACAGCTTAAGATTACAAGAAAAGTATCTTTGTTTGAGGGGTGGATTGGATTTTAGCATTTCGAGGTTGACTCTAGCAGCACTCAAAGTATTTTAATCAACAGTTATTATCACTTTTCTAACGTGGACCCAAAGACCTGTAATAACACAGCTTGATAGGACTCATGTCACGATTGAAGTAGGTCCTTTTGCTTTCAATCCGTTTCAATAGATGCTCAAGCTCTGTTCGACATGGCTTAGCCAAGACCAGGTAGAGGTTTTTCTCGTAGCTCTTATGCAGATAGACCTGTTTAATCAATTGGAGCTCCAAGCGAGAACATCATTCTGCATGTATTTGCAAGATACTTGATATAAATATTCCTAGGTACCTTAAATTTAGGCATCTAACTGCCTCTGGCTTTTCCTGGAGTCTTAAGTTGTTTCTAAGCTTCCTCGTTTCAGCGTGTTGCTGTTGTCCCTAAGGAGCCTCATTCAACTTTGTCTGTGCGTTCATCTAACCCATGTTACCTGACCTCACGGAAAGAAATTAAATGTTGATTTAGCATTTATACTGTTAAAAAGATGTCCGACAAGTTTCAAATGCTGATTTTATATTTTAACGAATGCTAACGTAACTACGCCCACTGCAAAACGTACAAATAAAAATGTAATGTTAGCATTTTTGTATTGTAAAATCAGCATTTGAAACTTGTTGGACACTTTTTTATCAGTATAAATGCTATATCAACATTTATTTTTTTTCCGTGTACTACCACTGCACTTATGTCTTTTTGGAGTCCCCTTTGTTGATAGACTCTTTTTGTTTTAACACATCCTCTTTGTCCTCTGCCCTCCCATAAGCAATTTCTAGGGTTTTTTTATTCCTAAAAAATAATTGTATCTAAATATTAGTGGTGCGATCGAATCATTTACATTTTCTGCTCTATCTTGCACGAAGACTGCTTACAGGTCATTTAGCTTTTCTATTTTTCCTTTTTTTACAAGGAGTGTTAATTTTTATGGATTTTGTGTTTCTCCTCTCTTTAAATTATTGTCTTCCCTCTAATTTTTTTTAATGATGATATATGCAGGGTGCTCTGCTTGAATGAGAAAGCACCAACTGAAGAGATTGCAAATTGTATAATCCATTTTATTTATATTTCCAATTAGACTTATATATCTGATAAAGCTTATGCTAGTTGGTTCATAGTAGATGGACTTTTTTTGCATGAATGTGCCCAGTGCCAGTTTCCGAGACAAAAAGGGGCTTGCGGAGAGCAAGATAACATTATTATGATAATAATTTTTCATTATAGTTAGAGAACTTGCTTTCTCAGCTCAGACTTCAAGATATCAACGTTTCCTTGTTGCTAGGCTAATCATAACCAAGCCCAACACATACTCAACCATATGCCAGCAATAAAAAAAACAAAAAAAACCTGCTCCAAACTAAGTTAATATGGGAACTGGGTCAAATATCTTCTAAACGTTGGAGTTCTTGTCAAATCGCAGTCAGATATTCAAGTAAATTTAGGCGATTAAAGAAACGTCACTCATTGTCAGTTATGATAAAACAAAACTCTCTATCAGTCTGTGTTTTGTCCCATCATATTCGAGTGAAACTGTCTGACTGTGATTTTACACGAACTCAAAGGTTCAGAAAATATTTGACCCAATTCCCTTATTCAGTTAGTTAGATTTGTTCTAACAGTGGCTTATGGGTGTAATAATCTCGTCATGCTTGTGGGTGGCTATTGTAAAAATTTCTGTCATACACTCAATTGGTTGCACAATTTAAAATGTGTTTTGTGAGAAATTTTCTGTATATTTCAGGCTGTGTTACCTGCGTACCCAAATAATGAGTGCATGCCGAATTGCTCCCTCAGAGAAGAGGGCCAACACAAAGGAAGGCCAATTCAGGAGGAAGAAATTTCCAACGGGAATGCGCTCATGATGTGCTTTGAGGATGACAGCCGCGCTCCGCTGTCATCCTCAAAACTGCCCATCCCAAATACTCTTTATCCATTGGACGATATGGGAAGTGACGGGTTCCAATCATCAATCGTCAGTAATATCTCGGCCAATTGCTCAAAAAAATCCAAATCTTGTACACGGGAGTGTCAGTGGACTCCACTTGAAAGACAATGCAAATCGACCAAATTCGAGGAGTTCAGCTCACCCTCCACAGATTCTGGATCTCAAATTAGCGCCTGCGATGAGGCCGAAATGCAAAGCATTAGTGCACATGTAAAAATCAATCGTCTGGAGCACGGGGGAAAAAATTTAATCATAGCCAGCAAATCAGCCAGTTCCTCTGATATATCTGTCACTCAAGCAGTCAACGCAACTTGCTCCTCCAGCTCAGGTATTTGAATTGATTTATTTACTTTGACAAGCTGTACTGGAAGGTCTCTTCTAAGCAATTTGATGAGAAGGTGCAGTGCAGTCTCTCCTCCATGAGTTAGGGACTAGAGTTACTGGAAAACGACTTTAAGATAAAATAAATTTAAGTTCTTAAATACTTTGCAGTCTCAAAGTAAAAGAATCAGATAATTTTATGAAATTGGTACAGGGAGCAGAGTAATTGATATCAGATTCTGCAGGTATTAAAATAAATAAATATTTATTCATTTCTTTATTTATTACACCAAAAAAGCAACTCCTATTTTGTCGGAACAAAAGGTCTTTTTGAAGATTTTTTGTCTGGAGCCATTTGATTGTTTTTATTTTAATTTAGGAGCAGTTAGAGTTAGAAAGCTTACAGCTTTTAAGACGCAGCAGTGAAATAGTTGGATTTCAGTTCATAACTCCTCCATCTTCCTCGAAAACATGTGAATGTTGGCCCTATGAGCTAAATTGTCTGTTTCACCTTATTTATTGAAGAACCCAGTGTGCCAAGTATCTTTACTAGATTCAGAATAACCACCATTTCACATTTTTTTCCTTTATATAATCAATTTTTATAAGAAAGAAATCAAAAGCAGACATCATCTTTTGCGATGTTTGGCTTTTGTAAAAATCCATGTAAAGATGCCAGTTTTCATTTTTAGGTATTTAAAAAAATAATGAAGGAAACATTTTTGATCCACCATACAGGTCTTATGAGTCAAATTCGATTCTTTAACACAACAAAGGGCTATTTCCTCCAGCATTTAGATTGACTTTTTTTTTGGTGTAAATGTGTCCAGTAAACAAAGAAATATGTCTCATGCCAAGTTACGTACGAAGAACAGTACAGAAATATAGCCTGAACAATTCAATGAAAACAAAAACAAGAAAATGGTTGAACAAGGCTGGAAGAAAATACTAAAACGTCTAGGACGTTTTGGAGTGGCATCAATCCCCAACCAAGAAGCAAAACCATTTTAACTAGAGAACAGGATTTAAAAAATGGAATTAAAAAAATTAAAACACAGGAGGCTCAGAGAATCCAAGTTTTTAATATTCTGTGAACTTTATTTTGACTTTTTGTTTGCTGCTCTACTTAGGGGTTGATACCACTTGGTAGCATCTGAGATATTAAGCAATTTGTTTCTCCTTTGTCTACCCATTTTCTGTATACATACATAGGATTTTTTTTTTTTTTTTCTTTTTTTTTTTTTGGCGTTTGTTTTTTTGAGATGAATATCCAAAGACCAAAGAATTCATAATGTTTCAACTTCTGAAATCTAACTGATGTGAATGTTTGCCCCAATCTCAATTTTGAATTCGTCTATTTTAGGTTTGATGTTAAACGGTAATGAGCCCATGTCCCAGCCGCATCCTGCCCTTAGAGGAAGTTTATTCACCCATGTGCCTCCGTATATCAAATTTTCCTCACATAATGTCAAAGGTAGGCATCTCCAGTGTTACATTTAACGGGTCAGAAAAAGTCCTCAGAAGGCATGCCTCTTTTAATGTGCCTAACAAAGAAGTCTTTTTTTTTATTTGATGTATGGACACTTGTATTGTTTTTTGAAAAAATGACATACTATCAAAAATTAAACAATGATTTTTTGAATTCTACTAATTGAAAATCGATCTATCGATTTTATCAATCGATCTTGGATCCATTGATAAACTTCCCTTTTTATGAGGCTGTAGCGTAGTTCCAAGATAAGGCATTTTTGGAAAAAGTTCAAGATCATGTTTAAGTCTCATTTTTACACCAAAAATCAAACTGTAAAGTATTGTCTTTTAACCCTAAGAAACTATATCTTCTTTCACATCGCTTTTTTTTCCACCAGTATGCTGAAGGAGATAAGAATTTTCAGTTTCCAAGTAGACTGATTTTACAGGAACGTATCAAGTCTCACACTGAAAAATAATGAGGCAAGAGACGTTTTGAATTCAACCAGTCAGAAATTTCCTCCTGTTAAAATTTCAAAGTTGAGACACAATTTTCTGAACATGAAAATAAGAACATTTTGTCCTTAATATTTACTCTAATGGACGAATAAAATTTTAAAACTCTTTCTTGGTTCAAACTTGATGTTACTCAGTACTTTTCTGCCAAACTAGATTCAAATTGTATGAATTCTATCTGTACATGAACTAACTATTATGTTCAAGTTGTGGTTGATTTTCCTTCAACTGGCCAATAAATTGGGAAGTGGTAAAGCTCAGGCAAATAAAAAGAGGTTTGCTTGCAATTTTTTTTTTTTTTTTTTTTTTTTTTTTTTTTTTTTACAAAAATAATCTATGTGCACGCAAAAGTTAGTCAAATGCACGGTATTTTGAGCACCGCATTCCAGGTTGAAACAGCAGAATGTGACTTCAAACTGAAACGCAAAAATAAAACAAATGATTGGTGAATATACACAAATCCTGTAATTCTAAATTTGAACAAATCGAAATATATTTTACACAAAATATGTGACTAAGAACGTCTCCTTCACCATGTGTAACAACATGACAGAGCAAAGTTTAACCACATTTAAGGCCATGGATGGTACGTGGGAGACGTTTGACAAATTTTAATAGAACAGCTACAGTATATGGACCATCGCAATAAACGGAAAGGATACTGATGACCTCCACTGCACATGCCATTACTTTCTAAGTAAAACCTTTGCAAGCCTACATTGGGAAAGCAGATCCGTCTCAAGTTAGTGAGTGCTCCCCGATAGACTGAAACCATTTTTTTGGCTCAAAAAACGGTGAAGAGGGTGGCCAGCCAAAGCCAAGCAAGCATTCTTGGTACAGGAGGAACATTCTTCGATCACAGTAATTTTAAAAATCTGATAAGTTTTTAGGCGATTTTTAGGCATTTGTAGACTTTCTGTACCATTCCTAGGTACCAATTAAATTTATGTGCGGGTTTTTTTACGTGAGAGAAGATTATTTTTCTGGGCTTCAATTTCTGCAGGGGGTAAGTATTTTATTTTTTGTTCACAACTTTTCTTTTCCGTGCAAACTCTTTTCTATTTCGTTATTTCTCTTTCTATTCCTTGGATTATTGCAATTTCTGTGCAATCTATTTTTGATACCGTAAGATAGTTAATTTTTGCTTTAATTTAGATTTTTTTTTTTGTGCTGTTAAATCACATCCTATTAAAGGGCGACGCCAAAAACGACCGTTTTTTGGCAAAATTTGGGTCTGCAGGGATTTTTCTGAAACAGGGCCTAAATGATACCTTATGATTTTCTAAAACTCTGGTAAAACTTTTAGCTTGAGTTTACGGGCGGTTTTCGAGAAATGGGGGAGCAAGGTTGCCAAAACGCCATCATTCTGGACAGCATTTTTACAGCAAAAAGGCGGGAAAAATGGACGAAAAAATTATACAGCTTTAATGGGTTTTGGCTGTAAATGTTCTTATTAGGCTTCCGTGCATATAACTCTGTTTAGTTTCAAAAATTTCGGTCGCACAGTGGTCGAAAATGGGGAGAAATCGTGGAAAACTCAGGATTCTTAGTCAAATTTTTAAATTTGTAGTAAAATTGTCGGTCTTCTGCAGTTTTCACGGCTAACTATGTTCTTATCAGTCCTCAATGCATTAAATTATGTTCAGCTTCACAAATTTTCATCGCTCAGTGGTCCAAAAGGGGGAATTAGTGGATATATCAAGATCCTCCGTCAAAGTTTTTAAAAATGAAGTAAAACTGTTGGTCCCCTGCAGAGTTTAGATTCCTGAAAAATTCATGTATTTGATTTTTTTAAATTATTCCTGTATGTTTGTTTAAAGAACTGTGTTATAGATTAGATTTTGTAGCATTATTTGCTTCTACATTGCATTAAAAATAATGAGTAAGCTTCTTCACCAAGTCATGATACTAATTTTTGAAGAAGTTTTTTGTTCAATTTACCTTCGTATTATTATTTACTCTTTCACCCTTTTCTTCTCTATTTTTTTTTTTAAATTTTTTTTTTCTGTTTTTCTAAATCTTTTTTGTTTTCTAATTTTTTAACATTTTTTGGTAAGTATTTTGTTTTTGGTTCTTTCAATTGTTTGTTTTGTTTTCTGTTTGTTTTTAATTTTTGTTTTATCCTCTGGTTTTTTTATCCTTTTTTCGACTGTTTAAATCGTTTTTTAAATTTTTTTCTCCATTTTTCCTTCTTTTTTTCTTTTTTTCTGAAAGTTCGCATATTTTATTCAAATAATGCTACAAAATCTAATCTGTAACAAAGTTCTTTAAACAATATGGTCTGATATACGGAAATAATTTAAAAAAATTAAATACATGAATCTTTCTGGGCTCTAAACTCTGCATGGGACCATCAGTTTTACTTCATTTTTAAAAACTTTGACAGAGCATCTTGATATATCCACTAATCCCTCCTTTTGGGCCATTGAGCGATGAAAATTTGTGAAGCTGAAAACAATTTAATGCATTGAGGACCAATAAGAACATTGTTAGCCATGAAAACTGCAGGAGACCGACAATTTTACTTCCATTTTTAAAAATTTGACTAAGAATCCTGATTTGTCCATGATTTCTCCCCATTTTCGACCACTAAGCGACCAAAATTTTTGAAACTGAACACAGTTATATGCTCTGTAAGCTTAACAAGAACATTTACAGCCAAAACCCATTAAAGGTGTATAATTTTTTCGTCCATTTTCCCGTCTTTTTGCTGTAAAAATGCTGTCCAGAATGATGGCGTTTTGGCAACTTTGCCCTCCATTTCTCAAAAACTGTTCGTACACTCAAGCCAACAGTTTTACCAGAGTCTTAGAGTATCATAAGGTATTGTTTAGGCCTGGTTTCAGAAAAATCCCTGCGGACCCAAATTGTGCCATTCTTGGCGTTGCTCTTTGGTCATTATCCTATTAACCCTCATCTCATTTTATTCTGTTTCTTTTCATAGGTCCTGATCTTCCTCCAAATGTTCAAAAGCTCTTGAAGTGGAAACTAAGCACAATCACGCCAGTTATTGTTCGTTATACCATTTTAAATTCAGGATTTAAGCTTGTCAGAAGTAAGTTGGCTTATGCATTTCTATTTTGAAACATTTGGCGCCTCACAAAGAGAGGTCATAAGGTAGCTCTTGATGTGATGTATCAAACAATATTTGTAAAACATTTGCCAAATTAAATGCAAAAAGAATGAATTTTTTTCCTAGATCCTTCCCTAACATTAAAGAATGTACCTCTTTTTACTTACTCGCTCCCCTAGGGCAGAGGAAGTATTGTCATCCTCCAAGGGGGGGAAAACAGTTGAAATTTTTTCTTTTCTCATCGTTAATTTGGATAACCTTCTCTTCTTTGTGATTGGTTTTACTAAAAAAACATCACTCATTGAAAGCTCCCAAAAGTATTTCCTTGCATTAAGTTTGCTAAGTTCTAAGCCAAGTCTCAAGTGGACTACATTTTGCAGTTGAATTGACTTGTTCAAAAACCGCTTAAGTACGTTTTTTTTATTTTGAGATTTTTGGGTTAAAGTACTCTCGAAGGTTAGACACACTTATTAATGTGGTAAAAATGTCTGTTCTTCAGGTTTGAACTCCTTTTCAGGGGGGGGGGGGCGGCATGGTCCAAATCGTGCGAAAACAGCTAATGTCCATCTTTCGTTGTATGCGTCATAATCGGTGTATTGTTTGATTTAAAATCGTGATAAAATTAAATATCACCTTCTAATCTTCTAATTGAGACTTTAGGGCAAGAAACCAGAAGACTCGAAAACTTCTTAGAGTTTTTCAGCGGCTTGGCGAAACTCTGGCTACTCATAGAGGCAAATAACACTGTTCAACAACAAGAAATGAAAAAAATAGTGTAAAAATGTCTCCGAAGTGTGAATATCAATTCCTAATTATTTTGAACTGTTGAATTCAAATATGATCTCAGATTTTTCCTATCACCCATCCTTATCCCAGAAAAGTCGATTTTCCTCAGAAAACGCTCTTTTTAGGTATTTTTGCAATGATTTTCCTGTTCTAAGGAGTTTTAGAAATTTTCCAAAATCCTCTTCAGGTTTCTCCTGCTGTATCAAAAGACACTGAATTCGAATTTGATCTTCACTCATCTTGGACAACCCCCCATTTTCTAAAAGGTTCGATTTTTCCGGGCCAAAGCTTTTCCGGACTGTTCCCACTTTCAGGGAAATCCAAAAAACTTTCCGCATGTGTGATACATAGACGCTCATGTAATTTGAGCTGAAAAGCCGAACATGACCTTGGAATTTGTTAAACTTGAAGTTTAGAACACATCGGAAAAATTGTATCTTGTAGCTGAGAAAAATTTTACCTTCATTCTGCAGGGGGTAACAGTTGGAAAAACACCAAAAATTCCCAAAATAATTGACCGTTTTTCGAGTTAAATCGGCTTTTCCGGAAAGTTGGAGGGTGATGGAAAAAAACTAAGGTCATATTCGGATTCAGCACCTCAAAATACATTTGGACCACCTTATCTCCCCCAGAAGACATTTTTTCTTTTTTTTGTCATTGAACAGTGTAATGACTCCTCCAATGAAGAGAGTGATGGCAGCAAGTTAGGAGATGCTTAAAGAGGTTCCTCTCATTGGTTTCGTTTATTTTTATCATTTGTCACTCTAAAAATACTTTTTTTTAAATGTTTCAATACATACCGAACTTAAAAGTATGCGTTTTCGATGTTCTAGAACCGTCCTTGCACAAATCTTGCAAAAACCGCAAATGTTACGTTTATTGCCGGTAGTTTTGTTATGAAACTTGTTTTGAGTGCCGCAATTGTCCAGAATTTTATGTTTTTAACTTTATTTGACTGATAATCCATTGCTTCAATATCTTCAGAATGAATTTTGAAGCTATCAACTGGCTCCAAAACTCGGAGATTTTCACGGATCATGCGAAAACCGCTAATGTCCGGAGTCCTTTTTATTTAATTACACTGTCCCAGACAGAAGAGGAGCTGGAGACTGTTAGGGATCCTTTTCTGTTATCGATTCCTGTAATAATTAACTTCTGAACATTTTTTAATCCCACATTTAAAAGGCTTCTACAATTTTTTACATTTCTTTCTAAAGTAGAGAAAATGAACATTAGCGGTTTTCACACGAGCCGATTTAATTAGGAGCTACAATTTTTGCCGCAATTCAAAAACAACGTATGTAGCTTCCCTATGCATGTTAGTGTTTTTACGGATGAACTAGAAATTGTAGTCCCTAATTGCAAAATGCAGTCCCAATCTACTCTCTTGTATTTCTTACAAAGGAGGCAAACTAAGTGGACCATTCTTCAACGGTAGAGAGCCTTTGAGAAGACACCATTAAAGTAAAAAATAAGCCAAGCCAAACTCTAATACAATAAGCCAAGCTCTTTATCATGATGTGATCAAGAGTGGCGGTAGCCACCCCCGGTCGAGGAAAATGACGTCCTACTAAAGTCCCGATAACAAACGGGTGGCCGACACTCTTAGTCACAGGCAACTCCCTTAACTTGAAAATTGATTCGGTTGGAACTCGACTGCAGCCCAAACGACGGCACGGATTCTTACGATCTTGGTGTCTACGGACGCATCTCAATTAGGACTACAAAGTGGAAAAGTTTCATTAAGATCCATTGAGTTTTCAAAAAGTTATAAGCACTTAATGACCCAAAACAAGGAAAATTTTACTTTTTACTTTGCCGGGAAATTTGAATTTCAAGAATCCAGGGTCCTGAGAAAGTCACTCAAACTCCGCGATAACGGTAAACCTTAGACCTATAAAAGTGGGTACCTAAAGAATCGTCATGTTACCGTGTCCATGGGTTTTTACAGTTTTGTAACATTCCGAGTGATCTTAAAGAGAAATTACGGAAAATACGACTAAACTGCCCGTCATGACCATCATTAACAACAGATTTCTCGCTTACCCGGCCGCAGATCGTAATGGAGCCTATATAAAGGGCACTCCGTGAAGATGTGAGGATTTCATTTTGCCACATAAAAAAGCGCTTTATCTCACGGATAAT